CCCCAAAACCCCAAAACCCCAAAAACCCCAAAACCCCAAAACCCCAAAACCCCAAAACCCCGAGTCAGCATGCAGTTATAGATACTATAAAAGGAGTGATTACTTAATACAATTATTATAAAAATGGCAAAAGAGCACATTTGTAATTATGAAGGATGAGGCAAGAAGTTTGCATCCAATAAAAATCTCAAGGATCATTACAGGACACATACTGGGGAAAAGCCTTACGAGTGTGAGATATGACATAAGCGTTTTGGTCAGTACTCAACTCTGCATAAACATAAAAGAGTCCATGATAAAAAGCGTCCATACAAGTGCGAGTATGAGGGATGCCACAAAACTTTCACTCAAGTGTCTAATTTGATTAGACATCGTCGGACTCACACAGGAGATAAGCCTTATCAATGAAAAGTCTGAAATAAGAGGTTTTCCTCTAGCTCTAATTTGAATCAGCATATGACAATCCATAAGGACAACAAGAACAGGAAAAAGTTCAAGTGAAGCATCTGTCTCAAAGACTATCTCTATCCTAGCAGCCTTAGAAAACATCAAGAGATGGAACATAAAATGACTAAAGAAGCAATCAAGGGAGTTCAAGAGAATCCAAAAGAAGAAATCAAGACTCAATCCCATCTTGAAGAGACTAAAACACCAACCAGGCCTAAACTTAACCCAAAGGCTAAAAATATTGTCACCAAGAAGAAGATCGAATATGAGGAGAAGGATGAGAATCCAACCCAATATAAAGGTATACCTCTAGAGAACATATCAGGCTTTCTCTCTAAGAGAGGTGAAAAATTTAGTGCTTTCTTTAATCAAAATATTTCGAGGAGAAATCTATTGAATTCATTGATTCCCCATTGTTCTACCAAATCTTTAACAAAATTTTCATATGAATTCGTATTAATTAAGAAAATTTACAACCACAGATAGTTGCATTCCATCATTGTTTATAGAGTCTCCTATTTGAGGGTCTAATTCTCACTGTGAGAGAAGCCATAGAGCTTGAGGCTTCTAATCAGCAAGATTTTGTCACGAATAGAAATTTAAAAACTATGAGCTTCCTTCGGTGACCACTTTTACTACAAAATCACTAATGTTTTCTAAAGTCCTAAATATTGGTTTAGCTGAAAAGATTTCTATTGGTGCACCCGATCATGCTAATTCACAAGGTAATATTTAGTTCTAAGCACTGTTTAGAAAAGAGCAAAATTCAGGAACCTAATAAAGTCTTTAGAGGCCATGTTAAGCCTAATCCAGTAAGACCTCTCTTCAAATTCGGTGACTATCAAAGGGAACCACCGAATATCTTTAATCATGCAGGTGGAAGTGATATGAACTGTAAGACTTTGCCAATGCCCCTTTCCAGTGGGGATAACACTAAAATAAGCTCTCCCAACCAGTTTTTACCTATTGGGCTTGGACAGTACTCCAACCAAAGCAATATGGGATATCAACAGATTATGAAGATGATTCAGGACAATAAAACAGAGAGTAATTACAGGATAAATACTATGTTCTTGAACCAATCTGATAAGCAATCCTGTATCTCTGGTGGTAGCGGGAGTGTACCTACTTTCACATTCCAGAATGATGATGGTTCTTTAAAATCTGGGTCTGTCTCTAAACCCTTTTTGAACGAACCAGTTATGCAAACCTCAATGGGCCATGTAAATATCCTTGGTTAAAATTTAGTCTCCAGATACTGTGGTTAATATCAGTAAACCAAAATCTCACTACTCATCAGCGACGTAAGGTTTTTCATAATTTTCCTTTATTTACATAGGCTTCGCCTACTTCCCAAAGAGGTTTATGCTAACTAATAATCATTAATGGAATGATTGCCGTAAAAATTAGGTTTACGTTATAATATTCGGTTTATTAGTTCTCTAAAAACAATGAAGAAAGTTAGGAAAATCTGACCCTTCTCTCAAAACTTGACACTTTGTGTTACGTAGTACTAGATAAATTCTCAAAGTGATCTTCAGTAATACCTAACCCTTTGCCATCTAAAACTAGAGGTTCACAACGATACTAGGAGTCATGGATTAGTAAACTACGCATTGCTTATACTCCCTTTACAAATTTGATTCTTTCTCGATAAATACATGTCTTTGTGATTTAGAAGAAATCCTACCAATTAGTCATGATTTTTATTCCTTATGAAAATAATTTGAGTCATAAGCATTGCCAATTTCTTGATAATATTAAGCATGAGTTGCATTAGAACAATTCAGAAACATACTGAAAACAGGAAATTGTTTGGATTCTGGAAGAAGTCGTAGACTCTCAATCAGCATAAATTTATCTTAGAGGTTCTTAAAGTGATGTGACTTAGCTTTATTTGAAATTAAAGACTAATTCATAACTAAATAGGTTTGAAATGAGAAATCCAAGGATGATTTCAAGCAAGTTCAAGTCAATCAAAGATGAGGGAAAGAATGAAAGATCTCTCTCAAGTGATAGGAGTTCTCCCCATAGAGACAATAGCCCTCCAGACATGAAACCTTATGGGTATTATCTAGGTCATAACTTCATAGAAGCAAGGGAGATATCATAAGAAATCGCTTACAAGGAATCACTAATAAGCAGTACATTATTGAGAACTCGTCTCTTAAGTCAGAGACTTTTGGAGAGAACCTTTCTGCTTCTTTAAAAGGAGGTTTCCCAGGTTTTGGAATCAAAAAGGATGATGAATTCAACAGTAATCTTTGATGCTAATAATGCTAGGGTCTAAATTTAGTATCTCAAGTAAAGACAGTGTGGCCAAGGCATTTGGCACGATGAAGTGTGTTGCAGAAATATCACCTCTTGAGCTAAGTAAGCTATAGCCTTTTATTTTATCCTTGAAAATTCACCATGATTGTCAAGAATTCAACTAACAATCTTATAGGAAAAATGGTGCCTGACTTGGAAGAATGACAGAAAATATCAATAGAAGCTTTTAAATGAGATAACAGCTGTGTTAATGGTGGAAAATGACCAAATGACATGCACCGAAAACTCCAAGAAGCAATGATGAGATCATCGCAAAAAGATTCCATGAGCATGAGTAATAAGTTTTAATGGACTCTCCTATTTCAATTATTTTTCAGATTTGGGGTTTTGGGGTTTTGGGGTTTTGGGGTTTTGGGGTTTTGGGG